GAGGGCGGCGCTGGCTGGGCCGGCGGGGCAGACCCACCCCCCTCCGCGCGGACGGTCAGCGTCCAGGGTGCCCTTTGTGGGACCTCAGCTTCCCTCTGCGCTGACCGGGCGTGCGGTTTCCCTCCCAGGCCCGGCGCCCTCACAGCAGTGACCCACGGTGGCTGTGGTGGCCCCCTCCCCACCACAGGCCTCGGGGCGCCCCAGCGCCCCGAGAGGCACCGCAGGGCTGGGGCAACCCGGGGGTGCGCGCCCTGGGCCCGCGTTCTCCTCAGCCTCCTCTGGAACCTGCAGCTGTGTGGCTCGGGCGGCGCGGCAGCCTGCATCCCCCGACCCCCCTCCCACTGCCCACCAGACTCTGCCAGCTCGTGTCCCCTACGGCCCTGTCCAGAGACCTTCCCACCTGCTTCCCAGGCGCAAGCGGTTCCTACAGGCTGCCCTGAGCTCAATACCTGCCCCCCGTGCTCCTGCCCCCACGCCCACTTGCTGCCGTCCACTCTGTCAGGGCACCCTCGCCGAGGCCCCGGCCCGCCCCCAGCCGCCCGGCAGGCGGCATCCCCGGCTTCCGCCTGTGATGTGTCCGGCAGAGAGCCCCGGAGAGAGCTGACTCGTAACAGGCGTCTCCTTTTCTTTCTCCAAACAGTCGGATATTCTAGAAACCGAGCGATAGCACAGAGCTCAGGAGCCTTCCTTTGCTTCTTGGACTCGGTGAGTGACTTCGCCGGGCCTCTCCACGGTCTGGATGACCGTCTGAGACAGCACGGCCCTGGTCGCCACACGCTCGGGGCGGGCGTGACAGTCGGGCAGTGGCGCACGCTGCCACAGCCTTCGGGGCTCGAGCAAGCAGGCGAGGTGGTGGGAAGCAGCGCCCCGCCCGCGTGCCACACCCGCTCCCAGCTCTGTGTGGGTCTGGGCTCCCGTCTCAGGCCCGGCGGGCGCAGCTGGCCCCCGGCACTTCCCGTCTTCAGGGTCTGAGTCTCTCGGTGTGGGGGTCGGGCCTCTGGCCGTGCGCTACACGGGACCCTCAGCTCACGGCCACTCGAATGAAAGGCGCGTGTCTGCAGGCGCAGGGCTCTGAGGCCCAGGGGGTACTTTGTTGGCCACCTGGGTGCTTCCTGGTGGCCCCTGCCACGACCATCAGTGCGCACGGCCTGCGCAGCTGCTTCAGGCGTGGGGACGGCCTTCTCTTGCAGGACGACGTGATGATGCCCCAGAGGGTGCGGCTGCAGCTGGAAGTCGCCCTGCGGCACCCAACCAGTGTGAGTCGGCGTCCCGCTGCCGGCCCCGGGGGCAGCGGGCCGGGCCGAGTCTGCGCAGGCGCGGCACCGGGGCGCCTGCCTTGAAGGAGCGTGGCCCCCTCTGCGCGGCGTGCCCGGCGGGGGCCTGGGCTCTGCGTGCGCCCTCGGGGCCCGAGCCTGACGGCAGCGCGCTTCCTGGTGTGTTTGCACGCAGCGTGTGGCAGCACGTCTTCAACCTGCACCAGGCAAAGGACAAAAGTGCCCCTCAGTGACCTCCAAGGGACGGGTTGTTAGGGCTCTGCTCCCACTGTGGTCTGGGCCTGGCTTCTCTCCTGGGTGGGTGCCCCCGCGTGGTGGCCGGTGCCCCCGCGTGGTGGCCGGTGCCCCCGCGTGGTGGCCGGTGCCCCCGCCTGGTGGCCGTGCTCCCGCCTAGGGTGGGCGCTCCTGGGCCGGAGCCACAGGGAGGCCCGCTCTGGCTCACATCTCGAGTGGAGCTTCGGGCTCGCTGGCGGGAGCGGGGCTCGGTGGCCCCACAGCGGAGGCGCGGCTCAGCCGCTTGTCCGTGCGCCCCAGTCGGGAACCAGGCTTCGGCCTCGTGGGTTTCGCCCGCCTCTCCCTGCCCGTGCGGTCACAGCCGGGCAGGGCGGGTGGCTGTCCGGAGCAGCCGTGCCATGTCGCCCGCAGGTGGTGGGCTGCCGGGTGAGCCGGGACCCCCCCAACTCCACTGAGCGGTACACGCGCTGGATCAACGCGCTCTCGCCCGACCAGCTTCTCACCCAGGTACTGGCCGGCCCGCGGGGGCCCGAGCGCGTCGCCTGAGGGTGGCTCTGCAGCGGTCACCCGGGCAGTGGCGTGAGCGGGAGGGGCCGCTGGCCGCGCAGGGCAGAATCCACGGAGCTGCTGCTGGAGCTGGCCGCGGGCGCCCAGAGCGTGCCCGGAGCGGTGGGGGTGGGCGCTGGGCGAGGGGCAGGAAGAGGCGCTCTAGCCCCCGGCGGGTGCAGCGCCCTCGAGACCTGGGGTCCTGGGCCTTCACCCCGGTGGGCCGGCCCCGCCTGCCCTCGTCCTTCGACCCCAGGCCTGCGCCGCCTTCCCGGCCCCCGGCGCCCTTCTGTGTTCTCCGGAGGGAGCCAGCGCTGACGTCACGGGGACACGGGCTCTCGGGGCCCCAGCCCAGGTGGGGGCCCAGCGTGGAGGCGCAGGCTGGGGAGAGGGGCCGGTCAGCGCCTTGGGCGGCGGCTGCTGGCAGGGCTCCCTTCGGCCAGCAGGAGGTGGGGGTCCCGCCTCCGCAGGTGTCGCGGCGTGGCTGTGGCGGGGGGTGAGGGTCGGCCAGCGGTGGGGAGGCCACGGGGGCCCCTGAGGTCTCTGCTCACCTGCTTCGGTGAGGCTGACCCCTGCCCGTCCACACCGTCACCCCGAATGGAGGCAGAGTGTGCCGTTGGGGGTGAGGAGTGGCAGTGTGGGGGTCACAGGTCCAGAGGGAAGCAGACGGTGTCCCGGGGTGGGGTCAGGTGACGCGGGGGCTCGGGCAGGGCAGCACCGTGTGGCCCTGACTCTGCCAGGGGTCCTGCACACTGCTGCCCTGCGCCCGTCTGGAGCCTAGCAGGAGCGGGGGTGCGGGCACCCCAAAGGCCCCTCCGCAGGCAGGCGGGCTGCTGGCCGGCCCCCGCTGTGCGCTCCTGAGGCGCCTGTAGTGTGAGGCCCTGGGGCCACCGGTGCCCTCTGCCCCCTCCGGTGTCTCCTTCCCAAGCAGAAACGGCCCGACCGGCCGCGCGTGGCCTGGAGACCCCCGAGGGGCCAGGGTGCTGGGGCTGCCTCCCCTGGCCTCCCGTGGGGCTCTCAGCGCTCTGGCTTTGCCGCGCAGTCGGACCTGGGCCTTTCCCAAACAGCTAGACGCTTGCTTGCTGGCCACAGTCCCCCCCTGGGGGCAGTACAGGGCGGCCTCCGGCCCTTGACTGGCCCCGCCGTTGTTTCCTTCCACCTGAGGCATCTCCCGGGGCTGTGCCCCGCTGCCGCCCAGTATCCCAGAGCCCACACAGGTGCCCTCCCCCCCGGCTGGTGCCTGGGCCCTGGCTCAGGTCTCCACGGGGTGCGTGACCGAGTGGCCCTCGAACTCCAGGCCCCAGGCCGGCCGGCCGGCCCTCCCTCTCGACTGGGCGTCCCACTGGCCGAGGGCCCGGCCAGCCCGGGCACGTGCAGGGGCCGCCTGCGTGCCTCAGGGCCTTCACCGCGAAGGGCGAGACGTGCACACCGCCGGCTCCGCCGCCAGAGGCGTGCTGCGCGCAACGGCACGTCTGCGGGCAGAGCACGGTCAGCAGTGTGACCGCCCCGACACGGGGGCTGTGGTCAGCCCCGGCGCCCAGAGGCCTCTGCCCTCCCTCGCAGGGTCCTCGCGGAGCCCCTGGCGTCTGGCCGGGGTGGGCTTTGCTCTGAGGTTCTCGAGCCGGGTGAGGCCGTTTCTGGTGGCCAGAAAGTCCAGGTCTCTGGGGAGCCCGGTGCCTGGCCGGCCCCCGAGGTCAGCACTCCGCTGCTGCCGCCTGGGATGGGGCCTCCTGGGGCTGCAAAGGCTCCTGACCGGTGGTGCTGCTGCCACGTGGCTGCCTCTTGGGGGCTCCTGGCAGCCAGGGCCACATGGCCAGGACAGCGCCACCCTGGGGTGTGTGTAGCTGCCCCGGCACCCTCGGCCCTGGGCTCGGCGTCACCTCAACGTGCCTCCTGGTCGCCCAGGTGGGTGCCAGCACCCCCACACCCGCCCTGTGCGCCCGTGACAGCCTGAGTCGGCTCCGGGCCTCAGGGCCTCGTCCTGCACAGGCCTGGCCGGTGCAGAGGGGCCGGGCCAGCGGCCCTGTGGGGCCTCAGTGCGGCCAGCGCGGCTCCCACCTGCCGTGAGCCGAGTGCACGGCTCACGAGTGAAGCCCACCCCTCGGCCTGAGGCCCCCGTGCCCAGCGGGGCGGCTCCCACACCGGGCTCCGGGAGTTCCACGCAAACTTCCTGGGGCCGACGGGCGTCCAGCCTCTCCGGCGGTGGCCAGTGGGCCTGGGCCAGAGTGGTGCCTCTGCCCCGCGCTTCCAGGGCGCCTTGCTGCTCTCACGGGGCTTGGGGGGCAGAGGGGGCCCACGGGGCCCACGCGCCTCCCTGTCCCCCCAGGTCTTCACCTCCTATGGCCCTACGGTGGTCATGCCCACCTGGTTCTGCTCCCGCGCGTGGTTCTCCCACGTGGGCCCCTTCGACGAGGGCGGACGGGTAGGTGCGGCGCGGCCGGGGGCGTGCGGGGGCCTGCCGCCAGGGGTGGGGTTGCTGCCGGGAGGCTGGGGCGCCCGGGGCGCGGCCTGAGGCGTGCCCCACAGGGGGTGCCGGAGGACCTGCTCTTCTTCTACGACCACCTGCGGAAGGGCGGCGGCGCGGTGCGCGTGGACCAGAGCCTGCTCCTCTACCGCTACCACCCGCGCGCGGCCACACACTCCGTGCTCGAGTACGCGGGGCCCGGGGCTGGGGGCTGGGCTCCCCGCCGGGGCGGGGAGGGGCGGCTGAGGCCCTGCGTCCCCCAGGGCCACCGTCTGGCGCCACCGCGTGCGCTTCCTGGAGGAGCGGGCCCTGCCCCGCTGGGCGGCCTTCACCATCTGGAACGCGGGCAAGCAGGGCCGGCGGCTCTACCGCAGCCTGACAGCAGAGGCGCGGAGCAAGGTGGGGCCCGTCCCGAGGGAGCCCCGCCCCCCCCGCCCCGAGACAGGCCCCCGTCCCGAGACCCGCGCCCCGTCCCCGCAGGTGGCTGCCTTCTGTGACGTGGACGAGAACAAGATCCGGAAGGGCTTCTACACCCACGAGGACTCCCCGGTGGGTACCCGCCTTGCCCTGCAGGGCAGCCTGCGTGGCGGGCGCGGGTCTGGTCCCTTCTGAGCTTGGGGCACCTGACGCTGTGCGGGGGGCCGCGGGGGGCCCGGCCACGCCCAGGGCGGCTGGAGCAGACTGACGGCGCCGCTGTCTTCAGGACAGGCCCAAGCCCCGGGTCCCCATCCTGCACTTCCGGGCCGCCCGGCCGCCCTTCGTCATCTGCGTGAAGCTGGTGAGTGGCGGGCGGGGCCCCGGGCGGCGCTGTGGGGCTCAGGCCACGGCCACCCCCACCCCCACCTGTCACCCCTGCCTGCTCAGAGCGGGCCAGCGGGCAGCGGGGGCGGGAGGAGCCAGGCAGCAGCTCCTGTCTGCCCGGGCCATGGCTGGCGGGGCCCACGCTGGCCGCAGGGCTGCGGGGCTGGGCTCTCCGCCTGCCGCCTCCTTGCTGTGGGCCTGTCAACCTGTAGAAGGTTCCGGGGCCCACGTGGCCCCTCCAGGCAGGGAGCAGGTGACTGGGGGGGGCAGGGGAGGGCGCCGCAGGGACGGGAAGGACACGACCTGGGAGCTGCAGGCGCCCAGGGGTCCCGCCTCCTGTGCCACACCCTCGGCAGGGGCAGGGAGGGGCAGTCCGCTCCACGAGGCCCCTTGAGGCCCAGCCGAGCCTGGGGAGGCATCCGGTCAGGCAGTCCGAGTCTCCCCGGCCCTGTGGTGGGCGCCCCCAGCAGGAGTGTGGGGGCGCCCGATGTGTGACCCCAGGTCACCCCGGAGGTGAGAGGCTTGACAGTGACCCCGCCCCCAGGACCTGACCGGGGGAGTGTTTGAGGACAACCTGCGGTCGCTGCAGCTGCAGGAGGGCCGGGACTTCGTCCACTTCAGCTGACCAGGGAGTGGCTGGGCTCGGGCAGGAGCTGGGACCCTGGGGCTCGGCCGCTCTGCCCTCCTGGAGACCCAGGCCGGCAGCTGCGGGGGCCTGTGGGCCGTGGGGAGGGGCCTGTGCAGACCGGCCGTCTCGCCTCAGGGCGCCCGAGGCCCCAGGCCCAGCCATGGCGGCTCCCTGCAGCCACGCGGGCCTGAGCCTCTCGCCGGCATCATCGGCACTGCTGGACAGGGCACCCAGGTGGAGGGGCGCCCTTGGGGCACAGAGGACCCTCCTGAGGCTTGGCCAGAGCCCAAGTGCTCCCCTGCTGGGTCCTAGACTCCACCCCTGTAAAAACTCCTGCCGTGGCCCCTGCCCGAGACAGTGGCCGTCTGGTCGTCCGAGACCCCTCGCCACAGACTCTGCCAGTCCGGGACCCTGGGGAGTCTCACCTAAGGCATTAAACTCCCCACTGGCTCCCGAGGGAAGGCGCCTGCTGAGGCTCGCGAGGGAGCAGCCACCGGGGCTGCTCTGGCGGCTGGTTGCGCCAGCCCAGGCGAGGGCAGCCCCGCCCAGAGGCGACAGCACGCCACAGTGCCCACCCTCCCACGGGACCAGGCCAGGGGACAGTGGCCTCGGACCCTGCGTCCTGGACGAGCAGCAGGGAGCAGAACCTGGAGCCCTGGACGCAGAATCAGTGACACCAGTAAAGCTGCAGGCACGTGCGGGTCGCCCCACTGTCCACCCTGCAAATGACCCAGAAGACCCTCGGCTGGCACGGTACACGCAGGGCCGCCCGCGCCTGCCTGCACCCGGCGCGGCCCCACTCACATCACTGCAGGCACAGAGCTGCGCGTCGCGACTTTATAAGATGCGGGTCAGGGTCACTACAAAAGCACCACCACGGCCAGCGCAGGCCGCTGTCCAGCCCCACCCTCGCGCACGCCCCGGCCGGTGCGTCCTCCAGCAGTGAGAGCCAGGTGCAGGCCCCCTCCTCGCTGGGCAGGTGTGACAGCTCGGCTCCGGGAGTGGACTCAGCGGGCACCAGGCTGCAGGGGACAGGCCGCGGTCAGGTGCCCCCAGGCCTCCACACGCAGGCGAGGGCAGCAGCGGCCACGTGGCCCCACACTGCCCTCAGTCGCGCTGACCAGAGACCTGACCAATCCTTGGGGGACACAGCGGGGCCGAGGCAGCCTGCGAGGACGACGCTGGGGCTGAGCCGCACCTGGCCTGCAGCGACCAGGTGGCCCAGCGGAGCCACAGGACAAGCCGCACCAGCGCCCGCCCTGGGCAGAGCTGTCTGTCCAGAGGCAGGGTCCAGCTGGTGTCCGGGGGGCCGAGGCCGGGGGTCAGGGCAGGCCCTGCTGCTGCAGAGCCCACAGGCAGAAAGGCAGCGTGGGGCCTGCGCCCTGGTGGGTAGCGGGTGACCGCGCGGGCGGGAGCAGCCGGGAGTCTGACCACAGGAAGCCACGGCCAGGGGCGCACGGGTGGGCCGCCCTGGAGGGGCAGTTCCCGGCTGACCGGCCACAGCGGAGACGACAGCGGGTGCTGGGGCCCCCGCAGCGGGCAGCACGAAGCCAGCACCAAAGGCCCCGGCAGAGGGTGGGGTGGGGGTGCAGCCGGCTGGCGGGGTGGTTACCTTGGAGACCAGCTGGGGTCGGGACACGCCGAAGAGGTCACACAGGCGGTTGCGCTGGGCTCTCACCAGCGGGAGTTCCGCCTCCCTGGGGGCGGGCGACAGGTCAGCACGGCCTCGGCGGGCACCCCTGGGCCTGCGGGC